TGTTCAGAAACCTTCAAAACGTCGAGAAATGTAAAAAAAATTTAGTTTCGATTTTCGGCCCATTACAATAACGTACCCTACGGGATGTTAGTAATATGTTTTTTCAGCTTTTTTTGAAAATGTGTTGCCTAGACCTTTTTACCCCATAGACAAAAGGGACAAAAATTCAGTTCAATTCAATTCGATTTAATCGCGATATCTTCCGATTTTTAAGACAATTACTGATTACACATCATTTTACCACTACTTGGTTTGGAGATAATGGTGGTGTACCTTTTTACCCGCGTTCTTTTAACCTCCGTTCTATTCCCTATAAGTTTACATTTGTTGGTTATTAACATTTTTTTAAATTTACTTGTTTAAAACGAAATGATTTTTGGGAATAAAAACATTTTTAAAATTAATTCAAAACAATAAAAATAAATTAAATTCAATGAATTCATGTCTATATTACACGTTGATAATTATTTGGTCCTTTTTAACTACTTAACTAATATTTTTATTTGCTTTCACTGGATTAAATATCCAAGCGATTGTAGAATGGAATATGATTAATACAAGGACTTATGTATAAGTTTAGAGATTAGGAGATTAATTCTGAATTTTAGTCAAATTTCAACTAACCTTGTTTATAACAAATAGAGTCTGCTAAATAATAAATCGTTCCAACATGTAACATTTTCTTAAACACACAATTGGAGAGTTAGTAACAGTAAATCTGGTATTACTGGTAATAACCAATTTTAATTAAGTTAAAAAAAAAACAAGAAAAAAAAACATTCACAGAGTGAAATTATAGAGCAAAATTCTACATTGACTCCAAAGTATGAAAACATGTTTTTGACAGTGATTCCAGTTATTGAAATTATGCCATACAAGCTGTTATAGAAATTATAGTAGAAAAATCAATAATATATAAATTATATCTAAAAGTCCTTCAGAGGATAATAATACTAAATAGAAAATGATACAAATATTGAGGAGAGACAAACATATCTTGTAAAAAAATTAACATTTGGAAACAAATTAAGTATCAAATCTTATATTACGTGGGAAAATCATAACAGTGAAAAACTGAAGTTAAAAATAACGCATCTGAAAAAAATCCTGATTAATTTTGCACAAAATAGATAATCAAGAGCTAAAATCTACAAATTGGGCCAAATAAAGTAAAAAATCATGAAACATCCCAATTTCCTTCTCAAGACTAAAGGTCATAGCTAACCGTAGTCATTTTTGCGATATCATTATAATCAAAATGAAAACTAATATTAATGTTTTTTCACTTTTTTCAGAAACAAATGTTTCTATTATAAATGTACATATTTATTTGTGTTGAGCTAACAAAAATGTTTAGAAAACTTTACCTAATATATTTGAACTAGATTTGAACAAGTTACTATCACTAAAGCTAGTCAGATAATTGAAATTTAAAGAAAAAAATGTAATAAAATGTATTATAGAAAATTATAGTTTTACCATTCGTAACTTTTCATCTAATCTAACTCGGCAAAATAAAATCGCGTAGGTTTCATGTGTGATTCACATACAAGTAATATATTCTATAATAGTCTGTGGTCACTATTAATGTTTGGGAGAAGGTCTTTCTACCATATACAGAAACGTCTTAATGATGATTTATTAAATTAAATTCCAGATAATATAAACTAAACTCAAAAAGCCGTATTTGGTATCCAGAAAAATAATCGACATTTCGAAGTAGTTAAAAAAAAATATGTGTAGTATTGCTTGAGTTTAGAAACTGAACTTCAGATAAGTTGTCTACATTAAATTTTAAAATGTTTTTATTAAATAACTGAATGCAATATTTTTATAGAATATATGTATAACTAGGTCACCTAGGTATATATACATTTATTAGTATATTTATCCTTCAAATATCAAATAATAGTTTTTATATCATTATAAAAATTAATCTGTATTGCTAATGTCTGTAATTTAATTTATACAGTGGTGCATTTGGCCTAACTGACCATTGTATTATTTAATCGATAATTCTACTGTAAGTAATCAAGTATAAACAAATAGTTTCACAACAAGCAATTTATGATTTTATAAAAAAGTATGTTCTTCTGCATTAACATGCAATACATAAATCTATGTAGCGATTTATATTATGAATGTTAAAATCAGCAATTATTTCAAACTAGGGTTTCGTAATTAAGTTCTTCACTATTGAAATACATGTCGTAAGAATATATGCGTTGACATACTCCCATCAATTAGAAACAGAACCGTATTACATGTAGTATTTATTCTTAAGATATTAGTGAATTTGTTTTATAATTATGAGATATATACAGGTATCTAATATAATCGCTACTCATAGGAAAATGCTTAATGGCAAACCGATGGGTTGCTTCTCGTGAAACATTACATTTGAGCCTTCAACAAACTGCTTATTGAAAATCTCTATAAAATATCTGATAACTTAATGTAAAAATGTTTTTTGAATCTGTTTTTTTTTTCAAAAACTGAGTTGCAATTTTTAGCTCTTTTTGCCCCGTACCTCCAAAACGGCTAGACCTGTGATTTTGCAAACAATAGAACATCATGAGGAAAATTCTACAAATTGGACCAAATAAAGTGAAAAATCGTGGAAATTTCCAATTTCTTCATAAATGATAAATTGATTAAATGATTTTTGCGATATCATTATAATCGAAATATAAATAACATTGCATTCGAGTCTACAACAAACTGCTTATTCAAAGTCTCTGATAACTTAATCTGAATTTTGAATCATTTATTTTCAAAAACTGAATTTTTATTTTTAGCACTTTTTGCTTAGTACCTTCAAAACGGCTAGACCTTTGTCTTTGCCGAATATTTTTGAATCATTCCAATCGGTTGATCCGTGCTCTCGAAATTGTCGACAAAAAACTGTATATATACGCTCATACATACATACACACAAGCATACATATGCATACATATATGGACACATACATCGATTTTTTCTGAAGTATTCAAAAATGTTCAGAGGACTTTGAAACATAGGGATATATAAAAATAATTCATTGTCTTTTTTTTGCAATTACTATAACTTAGGGAGCGTCCCCTAAGGTCCCATGTGGGGTAGGGAGGGGTATAGTAAGATATTACCTGTATTCATTCTCTATCTGAATTTTTAAACAAAATCCGAACATTTGAAAAAAAATCAAAAATATTTTTTTTTTGTGGGAAAGGGAGGCGAGATAATTTTGAATATCACCACGAATCACCAAGGGGGAGGGAGATTTCAAAAATCTCTAAAAAATCAATTACGTGATTAATGGACACCCCCTTACCCTACGGATCGTGTCGGATTTAAAAATCAGAAAATATTTTAAATGGTCTTTAAAACAAGATTCTAATTATTATTATGTGATAATAAAATTCATGAATAATAATTAATTATATATAAAATACACAAACTTAAATATGTTTTTATTCCATATTGCAGCGATACGTGAATCACGTACTAGAATATCAAAATAAACATGAACCTTGACATTTGACTTCCTGATTTAATAAATAAAAATTATAAGAATAAGCATTTAATGTGAAGATCATCGAAAATCGTAAACATATGCTAAGACCAGTATTTTTTCAAGTGCAGAAAACATTCGGTGTCAATTCTTATTCTGAAGAAATGTGATTGTATATTGAGAAAGAAATGATTATAAAAATTAATTTAGAAAACAAAAATATTAAGTAAATTATTGGAATTGTTGTAAAAAATTTCTAATAAATTTTTAACAAAAAACTACTTGTTATATAATTTAACTTAGTACTACTTGTTATATAATTCACTTAGTAAAATATATTTAGGTAATTGATAAATATTGGAATTGTTCCTAAACAGTAAGTCGAAATTGAAATAAAAAAGCTCGTGGAATTTTTTTCATTTTTTCCATTTTGAAACTGTGTTATTAAACGCGATTTCTCTTAAAAAGTTTGAAGATGAATCATAAAAAAATCAGATAAAAATACTATATACTAGATCGTGCACCTATAATTTTTATATGAGATAATTGCAAATAATATATATATATATATATATATATATAATATAAATATATATTATAATTATTTACAGGTGAAGTACTTTTCAAAAAAATCCCAAATATATAAATAAATTAACTCGTCTTACAATTTATGAATGCCAGAATATGTATTACAAATAAAAAAGATAACAAAAGTACAAAACACATACATTTTATCTGTATTTTATTTATTACAGAAAATCTCTGTATAAATACGAAACAAAGAACTTAGTTTTCTTAATAAGTCAATTGTAAAAATTATTGTCGTAATTTTATAACGGTGACTTATGTAAACCACCTAAAAGTGAGTAAATAAAAGTTACCTTTCATTATAGCAGTATTAAAATAAAATTTTAAATTTAACTGTACAAATATGATAATTTCATAAAACGCAAAACTGAACCTAAGTTCATAGTAAGATAATTTTTATTATAGTATTCACACAATTTAATCGATATATTTAATGAATACTAATTCATTCGCAAATGAAGGATTGCTACATGTACAAAGAAATAAAATCTTATATAAAACTAACTTTTTATTTACTTCTTCTTTCAATTTTAAGTTATAAAAAAATTAGATAAAAAGGGTTCAAGCAGCCATTAATAATTTATAGATATATAGTTTATATATAGAAAGTATATCCAAAAAATTTAATTTAAAGATTTGAATGAATATCAATGTTTATTTAATAACATATTGAATGGCGAATAAACATTGTTAAAGTCATTAGTTTATGTAAATTAATAATAAGTGTTGTCTATTTTGTTTGTTATTTGTTAACGAAGTTAATTTGTTTTTCATGTTACTGGTTACTTAATTTAAAAAATAGTTTAATTTAATTTATTAATTAATTTCAAATAGAACTAATGAAAATAATAAATATATATATATATATATATATATATATATATATATTCATGCATTCACAAATATATATAAATTGCTTACGACTGTATTTATTTTCCAAAATTTTCCAAATCAATGTCACATGTCACTGCGTAATCCGAAATTAAAAGCTTCAAGAGTAAAATCCATCACAACACAACACTATTCATAGAAAACTCAAAGTTCATATAGAATATTACATATGACGATTTTATTATATTATTTAAATCCTTGTTAAATGATAATAAAATTAGTTTGTTTGTATTTTAAAATGAGATTAAAACGTAGTGTTTATGATTCGAAGTGCAATCAACAACTGAACTAACTGGCCGTTACATGTAATCCATTTTGTACATCTGACGTGATTGCAAACTTATATTGCTTTGTAAGCAGAGCGTTCGAGATAAATTTGTAAGCAAAGTTTAACTACATAATAATAATAATAAATGATAGTCTGCCCGAAGGTGCAAATCAATGATTTTCTTGCCCTCCTTGTTTATTATTCCCTTTATCATTTTTTTATTCACTTTTATATATTTTTCTTTCAGAGCCTCTGCTTCGGTGCCTCCTGGTCCTGTGCTTCTGTTTTCAGGTCCCTATGTTTTCTTTTTGCGTAAGTCATCAATCTCACCATTCCTCATCCTCCCAATCCTTTTAGTCCTTCTACTTTACCCTCGACGAAGTCGTGTAGGAAGTACTATCCTTGAAGAACGAGGATAGTTATTATTATTTAATATATTATTTTTGTGAACTAAAGGATTTCTTTTTCTTATTAATTTTGGGAACAAACATTTTTAACTTTCCGTAGGGAAAGTTATAGTAATCTCAAAAAATCGAAAATAATTTTTTTTATATATCTACGTTTCAGGGTTTCTGAACATTTTGACATACCTTAGAAAAAATGGATGTGTGTGCGGATACAAATTTTCGTCGACTATTTCGCGAACACGAATTAACCGATTTGAATAATTCAAAAAACATTCGATTCCTACTGATAAGGAAACGTGCTGATTAGTTTTTGGCAAAGGCAGTTTACCAAAAATGGTATTCTAGTTTTTGAGATAACGGAGCGTCCTATTTAAATAATTCAAAAACATTTTACTTGTATTAACGAAATGCTGGTAAAATTTTAGTAAAGGCAGGTTCAACGTCTCCGGAGATCCAATAAAAACACAATACCATTCGGCGGTCAAAAATGAACATTAGACATATTTAAATAGTATTATCAGATATTTTGTAAAGATTATAATAATAAGTACAAATTTTGTGTACATGGTTTCCGTACTATTGTTTACACATTAGACGACTACGCGGCGCTCCCGCGCTCTGATATTTCGACTCCAATTCAGCTATGCAGCGCGATTGCTCAAAAAATGTTCAAAATTTTCAAAATAAATCAAAATTCCAAAAATCTAATTTTTCAATATTTCTTTCTTTAATTTTTTTCAAAAATTTCAAAATTTCTCAAAAATTTAATTTTTTCAAAGTTTTGCAAGGTTTTTTTTAATAATTAACTTCCCGTAGGGTAAGTTACAGTAATCGCAAAAAAATCGAAAATGAAAATTTTTATATATCTTTACGTTTCAGAGGTATCTGAACATTTTGGCACACCTTAGAAAAAATGGACGTATGTGTGTGTATGTGTGTGTGTGTGCGTGTGTGTATGTGTGTTCGGATACAAATTTTCGTCGACGATTTCGGGAACACGGATGAAGCGATTTGCATAATTCAGAAAACATTCGATACATATTGATAAGAAGACGTGCTGATTAGTTTTTGGCAAAGGCAGGTTTAGCCGTTCCGAAGATATGGGGCAAAAAGTGCCAAAAACGGTAACTCAGGTTTTAAGAGAACGGAGCGTCCGATTTGAATCATTCAAAAAACATTTTACTTGTATTGACAAGACGAAAAATTGATCAAATTTTCATGAAAGCGATCTAGCGGTTTCGGAGATCTAATAAAAAAGTAAAAAATATGCCATTTGGCGGTCAAAAATAATCATTAGACATATGCACGTCAAATTATCACATATTTTATAGAGATTTTAACAATAAGTATAAATTTTGTTTACATTTCTATGGGTTCCATGCCAATGTTTACCCATTAGACGGCGACGCGGCGCTTGCGCGCTTTAACATTTCGTCTCTATGCAGTTAATGCAGTACGATTACATTGAACAAAATTTCAGAATTTCCAAAATATGGTAAAATAAAGAAAACATTTTTTTTTCAAAAAAAAATATTTTTTTTTCAAAAAAAAGTAATTTTTTGTCAAATTTATAGTTTCTCAATAATCTATTTTTTTTTTTCGAAATAAATTTTTTTCAAAAATGTTAACGTTTCTAAAAGAATAATAACTTTTGGTGCGGGAAGTTCCAGCAATTTGCCTTAAGGCACGATGCCATGCGCCCCACTAGTTTTGAACATATTTTTAAAATACTTTATACAATGTATTGTTAATCGAGCAAATTGCCCACCAGCCGTCGACGTGTGTTGAGTTACCTTGATAGATGCTCACGAGGACGAATACGAGTACGTCTGTACTAATGACTGAACCCAACACTCAGTTCCCATATGATGTGATCATCGAATGTCCATATTCGCCTTAATTTACAGTTTGGTCGCAGAAAAATTATAATTTAATCCCGACCACATGAACAAAGTTGCACATTTTAAATGACACTATCAAATAGGTGTTAAACATTTGAAACAATTTAATGAATATCAGTTGTTATAATTATAGTGTATTCAAAAATTTTGAAAATTCGTTAAGCTATATCCAAAAATGTTGTTATAATTTTATGTTTGATATACCATGGGGATATCAAAAGAAAATCTTAGGAACGATCAGCAAATTTTTGGTAGTACTTGAAGTGCCTAAATCGAATGCCAATGCAGTGCTTGGGCGTCCGGCTATAAATATGGAATTTATGCTATTTTCGAGCATTTAAAAATTACTGGTAATTCTAAAATACCGAATTATATGCTCAGAAGAGACTAATAGAATATTAGTATAGATTATTTGAGATGAAGAGATCCGTGAGTTTTAAGAAAAGCAATTGAAGCCGTTTCAAAGAAAAATTAATGGGAAAAGAGATGACAAAAATTTGTTGTCAAATTAATATTATTAATCTGATATTTGTTGAGCAAATTCCGTGATTGTTCTAATTCTAATAATAATTTGCGTTTATGCACAATGCCGTCTTCAATAATTAATTTTTAATCAAAGCATTAGCATTATATAATATATGCACGGAATCAGAGATATATTTTTAAATTCTTGAAAAAAAGTTTATGTTTTCGCAAAAAATCCGAAGATCTTTTGTAATTAGCAGAAAAGTGTAAAATTGTTTGTCCACGGTTTAGCCCACAATTTTGAATCGAATTTAAAGATTCAAAAACTGTTCGTAATATATCTGTTGGAATTCGCTTTGAATAGTTATTGATTAAGATCGGCCTTTGGATCGGATTTCTTTGCAATTAAAAAAATTTAAAAAAATTTTTTGATTATTTTGATGAAACTTTGTATAACATTGGATTTTGTAACTGAAATGACATAACAAAATATACGATACGCGGTTGAATAATAAAAATTTTTAATTTTGGTGAACTTTTATAATGTGGAATCATATGACCGTTTTGTGTTTCGTTCGTAGCTACTGATCATAGTTGACGTGCACAATTATAAAATACATTTTTAGAGTATGAAATTGTAGATAAACAAAAATGTTGAATAAATTTGTTTTTTTTTTATAAAATTACAAATGTTATAAGTATGTTTGAAAGACATCAACAGAAAATTGCATTGATTATTTCTTAGTGAAAGCAAAAATTTATTTTCTTATTGACAAAATTGATTGTGTATACGTTTAGCTAAGTTATTGTAACTTGCCTTAAGGAAAAATGGTACTTACAACTAGATGAATCTCATTTTGATATCGATTCATGCATTTCGAATTTTAAGAACGGTTACAAAGCCGTGTCAAATATCAGATGAACACATTACTACACTGTGCACTAACTGTAAAATAAAATTACATCAATTTTCAGATAAACAGTGGAACGTGTTACCTAAATAGCTTAATTTCAATTCTAATTGATTAAGTTGATTAGGTATACGCGTATTGGAAAGTTAATGCAACTCGCCTTAAGGCAAAATGTTACTTACAACTAGTTATTAACTCAATCTGTTGAAAGCAGAATTACAAACAATGAGTACGATTTTTTATATTTTTTTCGCTTTTATGCCTTGTATAAAATTCTGTACAAATTTTTCTAATTGCTAAGTTTGGTAAAAACTATCGTATTTAGAGTCTATTTGAAGTCAAGTCTTGTCATTTGTCTAAAGCAATTTTGGCATGAAATCAGAAAATTTGTTTCCACTATTTTTTTGATGATGTTCGTAATTTCAACGTGGAAGTTCTAAATTATTAAAGTAAGGGGCTATTTTAACCCACCAGTAGAATTTTGGGTTCGGCAAATTTTTCCTCCGTATAGCTCTTAAATGCGGGTAAGAATCTTGGATTTCGAGATACCCAGCTGTAAGTCTGTAAATACTTGTATATTGACATCCTAAAGTTGTTTCAAAATACATCTCTTGCATATGGTAGGATGTCGTTACCATATGTAGGTTTGAGACAACTTTAGGGTGTCAATATACAAGTATTTACAGACTTACAGCTGAGTATCTCGAATTCCAAGGTGAACTTCTTTTATCTATATACTCTTCTTTTATCTATGGTGAACTTACTATAATGACTGGACTATCAAGATAAAAAAAAATTGTGGGGAAATGTCCCGGCCAAATCATGAATAAAATGTGAATCTGTGTGAATTTTATGAATTTATGACAAATATTCTTGTAAAGTAGAGCTAATTTTCAAAAGTATAAGTAAAGTGTATAGTTTATGAGCGAAGTTTTATTGAAATTTCATGTGATGCCGCACACAGGATGAAGTAGTAGAATAATGATTAAAAATAGATGATGTGTGTCTATAAAATATATTTCATGTATAAAAAACAGTAATAACATTATGTGTGATATTATTTTTATAATAATATTTGTATATAATGAAAGTGTAAAGAAAATATAATGTAAATTTTATGTTGAGTTGAAGCTTCCTGATTTTGCGCAATGCTGCCAATATAACGAGCCATAGATACTGTTTATCCATAGATAAAAGAAGAGTGTTTATCAGTGAAGTTAAAGTTCAATGTGGGTTGCCAGGCTGCTACAATTGCTCTTCGTTGGCTCCATCTATATAGATCAAGATCATCAATTGTAAACATTATTCAAAATCTAATCTATTTACAAGTGAGGTTAGGTATTTTAACTGTAAACCTGTGATTGAAATTGAATTGTTTTTGTAAACGTTCATTATACGATTTTTGTCACAAAATTATGACAGATATGTGCTCCGTAGGATTAGATTTCAGTATGGTTCCAAATATTTCAGATTCAATTTCCAGGGCACAATCGCAAGGATTTCATTTTCTCTTCATTCCTATTGTGCATCCAAGATTTAAAAGGAAATTTATTAACGGTGAATGGATACCCAAAGACGTACCTCTAACAAGGCCGGATATTTTACTTACCTCAAATGAATGGAGGACGCTTTTTGTAGGAAAATTATCTAGTTACATAGATGTTGATTCCACTTCCAATACCAAACGGGAGCAGTCTGAATTTGCACTTTTACAAGAACTGTCTTATGCAATTCATTTAAATTTTGCAGCCATTCATTTCAAACTGAAATCTATTAATTGTACTCATCTGGCTAGGATCATACTTAGTAAAATTTCATCTTTAAATCAGATCTGGGTTGAGTTACCGATGGTCGATATTGGTATTGGTTGTGAAGCCCTATGCAGTGATAGTAAATATGAGTTAACAACTGGAGATCCTTGGGAACATTGGAACAAATTCAGAATACTTCTTAATTATGATAAAAAAATTGGTGTTGTATTAGAAGTTCCTGTAGATGTGCCAGATGATGATGTTGTTGAACGATGGTTGGGCGAACCAATAAAATGTCTAATGATAAGTACACTTATATTTTTGACAAACCATGCAGGGTACCCAGTTTTAGGGCCTAAACACAAAGAACTAATTAAAAAATTTGTTAATATTAAAGTTCAATTAGCATTAAGAGGTCCGGAAAGGCATTTTGATATGCATTTATATGTGCAATATTTAGACAATTTATATAAAGGGTTTCACACAGATGATCCTCTTAAAACAAATAGTCAAGGGTAAGTAATTTTAAAGGCATATTTTTGTACAAACATTTAATTTAAAATATGTATATTAATTATATTATATTGCTTAATTTATTAGTTTACGTATATATGTAACAAGCCTTAAACAGATGTGAATTAAAATACTTTCAGAATAAAATAAATAACATTTGTTTCATATTAGGTATGAAGATTATCTACAGTGCCCATTACAGCCATTATTTGATAATTTAGATTGCGGAACTTATGAAGTGTTTGAAAAAGATCCAGTTAAATACCGACAGTATGAACTTGCCATAATTAGTGCTTTGGAAGATAAAGTACCAGACTCTGAAATTCATTCTACAACGGTAAAAAATCAGACTATTGAAAGATTATTTAGATATGTTAAGGAAAATTGGTAATAATTATTTTTGTGGCATAAGTTAATAATTATGACATAAAAATATAAAAGCAAGTAAATAAATGTATGTTAGTGTGTTTTTGAATATAATTTTTTTTTATGTAATATGATAATCAAAAGATTATAATACTATATTATTATAATAATATTATATTATTATAAAAATATTATATTATTAATAAGGCAACCATGATTTATTCCATAAAGAGAGTTCTCATTATATATTTTTCATAGACAAATATTTTGGAACCTAATTAAATCTACATATTTGGTTCAAATAAAAATAGTATTTATTATATTACAAGTTACAAAAATTTAATTATACTTTTATAATATAGGTTGTAGTTCTAGTTGTGGGTGCTGGCCGTGGACCATTAGTTAGAGCAGCATTAAATGCTTCAGAGATTTCAAAACGAAAAGTTCAAATATTTGCAGTAGAAAAAAATCCTAATGCGTTAGTTGGCTTATTTGCACAACAAAATGAAGTATGGCCAGAAAATGTAAAAGTGTTTGGTATATTGATCATCCATTTCACAAATTATTATTACTAAGTCAAATATTATAAAAATTCTGATATTTAACTTTTAAGGTGGTGATATGAGAAATGTACAACTTCCTCAACTTGCTGATATTATAGTATCAGAACTACTAGGCTCTTTCGGAGACAATGAGCTATCTCCAGAATGTTTAGATGGTGCTCAAAGGTTATTAAAAGAGGATGGTATAAGTATCCCAACCAAATATACATCTTATTTGTGTCCTGTGCAATCTTCAAAATTATATGCAGAAGCTAAAGATTCTATGGATAGAGACAAGCCACATGGTTTTGGTCTGGAAACACCTTATGTTGTTTATATAAACAGCAAATATGTTATTGCACCAAATCAGGTAATTTGTATTTTTTAAATATATTGTAAATATTGCTCACCTTTATTTCCAGGGTAATTGAAAATCTACCTTCACCTATTTGTATACTTGATGATATTTTTTTTTAACAATTTAAGCCTGTATTCACATTTGAACATCCAAATAAAGACAAGTTTATAAACAACAATCGCCATAAGCAATTAAAGTTTGGTCCAATTGCACAAAATTGTGTTCTACATGGGTTTTCTGGCTATTTCGATTCTGTGCTGTACAAAAATATAATCATTAGCATAGTTCCAGAAACACATTCAGAAGGCATGTTTTCTTGGTTTCCAATTTATTTTCCCATAAGAGTAAGTAATTGGATGTTATTTGATATAAACACTCTTTGTAAATCATCTTGATTGGTTTATCTTTTAGAATCCGGTACAGCTTAAGAAAGGTGATGTAATTACATTAGATTTCTGGAGATGCTGTACTTCACGAAATGTTTGGTATGAGTGGGTTGTATCTGAGCCAAATGTTGATACTATACATAATCTTAACGGTAGATTCTCTAATATTGTTTTATAAAAGAGATTATTTTTAAATCTGTATATACTTATTGTAAAAGCTCTTTTATTAAAATAATTTGAAGTCACAGTGAAGCATTTTATTTAACACCTTGGATAACTGCATATTTGTAAAAGAGAAAAAATTTCATATGGAATGTTCAACCATTTTCAAGTTATTAATTTTTGTTATTTTACTTCACTTGCGTGAATAATTTTTACTATCTGAAATTTAAATTGTGCAAAGATTCATAATTATTTTAAAATCACAGTGCTTTTGCATTCGCAGCAGCGTTTGTAGAAAGATGTGTAGGTCAGTAAAGTACTAACATGCTTCTTAATGAAGGCTTTTATGAAAATAATCACTTCTGCATTGATTTGTGCATGCATAAAATTTGTACTGGCTGGTAAACTAATTTTGCATAAACTGGTTTTATCATTTACATTTTTACCGCACAATATGTTTACAATAAGTGTTCGTTTGTATAAGCAATAGCCTTTTAAGACAAACATTTGAGACAGGAAAATAATTTCGAATAAAATTAGAAAAATAATACTATATTAATTATATTCATTTTCATACATTAAACTCATTTCATTATAAACATACAGAAGATAATGTATCGCACTCATAAACTTGCATATAGTCCACAAATCAAAAATTTGCTTAAAAAAATTGGATCAAAACCTTAAAATTCTTGTTGAATCAAAAATAACATTATTACATACAAATTGTATAGCACTTCCTATGAGCACAATGTTACAATGATTATAAATAGCTTAGCAATACAAAAATATTATTATCTTCGTCCACGTCCCCTACCACCTCCACGACCGCCTCTGGGTCCACCACGACCACGACCCCTTCCTCGTATTCCACCTCGAGCTGCTTCCTTCTTTCTAGCTTTGGCTTTGGGTGTATCATCTATCAAAAGGGTCTCCAATGGTAAACTATCTGGGAGAATATAGTACCTAATATTATTCCCTCTCAAACTTATAGTATCAAGAAATACTGGATCTCGATCTTTAATAGTCATTTTGACAGCTTTCAAATGCGTATTCATGGCAACATCCACGCCAGTTATTGTTCCATTTACTTGAGTTCCATTTTTCAATTCTATCGACACTGTTTCGTGTGATAATTTCATAAGAAACCTAGTACAAGAGGTTATAACATTACACACAAAATTTAAATGTATACTTTCTAATATTCACGATATCTTACCTAACTAATTTCATTTTAATTATTTTTTGTATAAATTAATCCTCGAAAATTTGTTGTTTTTACTCCAAACAATTAATATTATATCAAGCTCGCCGGGAAAACGCTAAAATCGAACATAGTATTCAGAATATTATTATATTTTTAAGGTTGCTTCACTTAATTTTATGTTGGTGTTAACCATAGAAATAATTTTTTTAACCGTTACGCTTGCTTACTTGTTAGAACTAGCCAAACTTTTTGTCTATGGTGTACTGCATGAGATAATTACATAATATTAGTTATATTCTAATTATTATTTTGATAAAAATTCAAAATTAAATACATAGAGAAAAAAGGTGATTAAATACTTATTTTGCAAAACACAACTTTAATAGTCCTCTAAATATTAGCAGCACAGCAGCACATTTCACTGACAGCAATACTCTTCTTTTATCTATGGACTGACAGTGCCTTATGTTTGAATCTTAGCTAATCCGCAAGTTGCTCTTCTATGCTTCAAATATTTAGGGTTTTGACAGTTCGAATAATTTTATTAAACTTGTGCAATATTAAATAAAAACAATTTTTATTTAAAATGATCAACGTTGTGCGAAAGTTTGAATTAAATTTAAAAAATGTAGCAGGATTAATTCAGAAATCCCAATATTGTCAAACATCAATTGATGATACTGGTAATTGTGAGGTTAATGATATGTTCCAATTTTTTTTTTTTAAATCTATTAATCTAACATTCTTTTAGGAGAATTTAGGGTCTTAAATTTAAAAGGTCTTAGATCTCAAAGGGCAGCCAGAAGGCAGTTTAAAAAAGCAGAAGTTATGCCTCCAAGGTAAAAGAAATATTATCATTTTAAAACCATCAATGCATAAGCAATCAATTTGTTTAAGACAACCAAATGCCTTTCGTTTTATGAGATATCTATTGTTTTTAGTGCCTAATTACTATGATTCAGATTTTATTTTTTGGAAAAATATAAGCAGATATGCTGTGATATCTTAGTTATGTATTGTCTACTTTTTCTATTCAATGGTTTAACTATCAAAGCACCCCCCAGTAATAACCTTAAAATGGTAAAATATAAAGTTAACTTAAACTTTTAATGTGAAACTAGTATTATCTCAAAATATTTTTCCATTCAATAACACATTACAGAAAAGATTGTGCTATCACAAATTTCCATAGGTCCATGTACAAAGTTTTCCCAGATGTTTGTTCAATTTACAATATTCTTGCATATTAATCATATTTGCAATTAATTGTTTTATATTATAGGTCTAAATCAATGCCAGTAGATCAGGATTGGGGTAATGTTTGGCCTGGACCTAAAACTTTTCATCCTGCTAGTGTACCTCTGCCATTGCGGCAAGGTTTTGTACCAAAGGGGCAAGCACCACCTGGGAAATTTGGAAATGCAGAATTGATGAAAATTCCAAATTTCTTGCACTTAACACCGCCTGTTATAAAAAGACAGTGTATGTAATGCAATTAAAGGACAATATAGTTTTATGCTTTCTTGTTATACAGTTTGTTTCAAAATGTACAAATTTATGCTACATAGGTGAGGCATTAAAACAGTTTTGCACACAGTGGCCAAAAGGTTTAGAATCTGAAGAAAAACAAAATAAACATTTTCCTGTTACAGTAATTAGTTCTGATTATTGTCACAGCGGTCCGACTATAAGAAATCCATTAGGTAGAATTGTTACTTTGAAGGTATATTATAAATATTGTGTGCATTATATTTAGCATATTGATAATTTTATCTTTCTTCAATTTGTTGTTATAGGTCAAATTATCGGATTTACCACTAGACAAGCATGCTCGGGATAAGTTTTTACGGTTAGTTGGTGACAGACACGATCCTGATACAGATATATTAACATTAGTAGTTGATAGATGTCCACTGAGGAAACAAAATTATGACTATGGCATGTATTTGCTGACAGCTTTGTTCCATGAATCTTGGGTAAATAATTTAAATTTAATTTTTAAATTAATTACATGGGGTTAATTATTTGAAATTTAATTTTTAAACTAATTACATGGGGTTAATTATTTGAAATTTAGTTTTTTTTATCTAGTATTAATGTTGAACACATTGAATGACTGTTGAACAAGTTGCAGATTATAACATCTCTAATTAAATTATTTTATTTATCATTAATAAAATCAAATTATTTAATCTATAAACATTAGAAAAAGCCTGAGAGATTCAGCGTGCAAATAATTTATAATATTACTTAAAAATTTCTATACTTTTGTAAAATATTTTGTTTGACGAAGAATTTAAACATTTTAAAAGTATCATAATTAAATTAATAAATGAGGTGGTAATATACATTTATAAATAAAACACAAGCTGTTATTAACCACTAATTCTATCAAAATATATTTGAAGCAAATGTCTATTATTATGTAATACCTTAATATATCGCAACCATTATATGTTTATTTTCTTGCCAAAGTTATAAGTTTGCAGTTTTATTTATTTATTTTTTATAATTAAACAATGATTTTTAATAGGTGTGATAGATAAAATTATTAATAAAATAAATTGTATTGTTTTAGGTCACTGAGCCTTGGGAAGCAGATAAATCTGAGGCGGATATGGAATATTACGATTGGCAAAATAATGCATCCAGAAAATCAGTAATAGCAATTCATAACTTTGGACAAGATAAAATTGAAGAATCATTAATACCAAATATAGTCTCTTATAGTGAAGCGGTATCAAATATAATGAATCATGGTAAGGTTTTTTTTGTTATTGATATTTTATTGTGTATTGATGACAACCTCATAGCCATTAATTGTTTCAGGGGAAAATGATGCATCAATATTAAAATACAAAGAGGAAGTAAAAAAGATGTTTAATTTGTAGTTTGCTACAATGAAAATTGAATAAATATTACTTTAATTATAGTTGAAAAAAGAAACTTTTATTAACTTAAGAATCCTAGAACTATTTTAAAAATTCAAAAATCATTTACAAATATTGGTTGGAAATTGTGCTGATTAGAATTTGTCAAAGATCTGATCAAAATTATTTGTTGAATTTTTTTTTTGATTTATACAATTATAGATATTATTTTTTAGTGACAGCAAAAATTTCATTTTCAAATAAATATTACAACATGATCTTATTCAAGCAACTTGCATTAAGGCAAAATTGCATTTTCAGGCTTCAGGAAAAAAAATATTTCAGGAGAAATACCATAAGTGGTAATTATAGTCAAATATTAAACTAATTGAATAATTCTGCAGTAAAATTCAGTTAAGAAGGAAAAACATAACGGAATTTATTTCAAATTATGGAGATGTACATAAATACATAGATAAAAGAAGAGTATAAATACCTGCCATCATTTGATGTGCCTATGGCATTATAGTTATAGTTAAATTAATTCTCTTAGAATGTGCATGTGATTAAGAAATGCAACTTTGCTTCAAATTCAATGTGGTGTAAATCTATCAAATGGTGTAAAACCTTTTTTTATCTATGACTGTTACTTCTTCAGAGGTTCATGAGCTTTCTTTATCTCTATTTCATGGCACATACTTGATAAAGAAATAACGAGAAAGATATAACGTTGTATTTTATTTGTCTTAACGTTGTATTTTATTTGAATTTTAATACATGTATTTTTTTACTATGTATGAAAATGAAAATAAATTTATGTGCATATTGAAATTTACAAATGTTGTTTTCTTAATTAACTTCATGTAATTGATACAAACAATTCAGATAATAAATAGAAAGAAAACTCATGCTAAACTAAACTACTGCTAAAAGGTTGATACTAAAAACTGTGTTACCAGTCTATATAAATATATATTCTGTGCCCTATGTTTAATTTTTATTCTCTTTGTTTATGTTGTTTTTTGTTGTCTATGTTTAATCTCTTCTTTTATCTATGTATCAACCATTATGCTTACTTATCTATGATATCAACAGTCTGTGTCGTCTAGTACTTGGTTGAACAAGTGACTTTATCATAATAACAATTATTTATATCATAAATTTAAATAGAATTTAAGTTGAAGTGTGTTTTTGTGAAAATATGATTTAGGTAAGTAAAAAATAATATTTGATATTTTAATTTTAAGGGACAGTGGTTCGTGTTTATAAAATGTATTTATAAAAATTTTAGCAAACTGTTGGGCATAATTCGAAACAAATATTTGTTAAATACATTTTCAATGCATTGTGATATTGATTCAGGTCCAAAACAATTTTTAATACATGAATTTGTTACTTTAAACGTCAAAATTGAATTATATTGTTTAAGATTAAACGTCAAACGTCAAAATTGACAGTTGTTTTCAAGTTAAAAATATCTGTTGTGACATGTTTATTTTAAAATTGTTAATTAATGAATATTTTATTTGAAAGCAAAACCACAAAAACTTAAAAATTCCGTAGATAGATATCTTTAAAATAATCAAGTAGAACAGGTCAGATTTAGTTCATTTTATCTTACCTTTTCAAAACTGCTCAAAATCAGAAATATTTCAAAAGAGGAAAATACTTTTTTTCATTGTTCAAACAAAAGGTGTTTTTTTTATACAAGGAAATACATTTTTGAATGTTTTCTTTGAAAACAAATATTCGTGTATTAATTGTCGCGTTAATAATATATATTAAAAGTGCAGTTGTTATTAATAATTCAATACTTACATCATAAATGGGCCAAAATACATAAATGCTCTTTATAAAGAATGTTTTTTCTTTTGAATCATAAGTGCCATTTTAAATGTTAAATAAGTGTGATTTTATTTTATCAATTAAATTAATTAATTAATTTAATTGATAAAATAATAATTATTTGTTTCTCCAACATTAATAAAATATTTAAGAAATTTGCACAAAATTAAATTACCAACATTTTTTTTAATATTTGAATACTTTAAACTATTATCCAAAAGCAAAATAATGATTTTAGCGAGCTAATCAGTACAATTATGTTTTATAATATTTATGAATCATCAACGGATCATTTATCCACGGATTTTGTCAAACAAATTTTAGTCAATTTGAAAAACTTTTGCATATCTTGATTAATTTTTTGTAATTAGCAGTATGCGAGTTTGTGATATTTTTTTACATTTTGTCAAATATTTTGAAAATTTTATTCTGGACACTTTTATATGTTTATTTTAGTAATAACTAGATAAAATTTGCTAGAATTTAGTGTATATTGTTATATGCACTTTGATATTGAAATTTTGAATAGTTTGTGGTTGAAGTGCTGATTTGATTTTAATAATTGACTACAGGTGGATTTTGGACATTTTTTTACATTTTGTCAAATATTTTGGAAATTTTATTTCGGATACTTTTATTTATTTATTTTATTATGATAAAATCTATCAAATAGTATCAATTGTTTTATATACTTGCATACCAAAATTTTGAATAATTTTCAGTTGAACCGCAAATTTAAACGTAATATGTAGATTTGGGACTCTTTTTACTTTTCTTCAAATAACTTTAATTTTCTTGTCGGGCACGTTAATTTGTTTACATTAGTAAAAACTATATCAAATTTACTAGAATTTAGTACAAACTAGTACATATAGTTGGATTCTAAATTTTCGTAAAAATTTTTCGTAACTGGAACGCGAATTTGTGTCTGTGGACATTTTATCAAACAACTTGAAAATTTTGTTCTATGCATTTTAATTTATTTATATTGGTAAAAAATAGAGAAAATTTAGATTTATAAATCATAAACCATATTAAAAGCAAAGACTGCTATTCATGCTTTTGTGATGATATCAAATTATTCGATTATAATAAATGATTTATTTGAAGTTGAATCTATGAATACTATCCATGGATTGTTTTAAGAGCTTTTTTTAAAACTTTGGAAATAATATCAAGTTATTCGATTAACATAAATAATGTAACTATTCGGCTGTACTTACTCACAAAATATTCGAATGTTTTTGTTTTTTCACTAAGTTTTTGTGGTTTTATTTTCAAATAAAATATTTAAAGCTTACTTATTGTTACTAGTCTGATATTAAGTAACAAATAATCTTATTTTAAATGTATATCTTTAGAATAAATTATTATTCTTATTACAGGTATTTATGCACTTATAGGAACAGGAACCATAAAATCTGGCTTTCCCCTATACTAAAAAAAATTATGATCAAGAACTTATTGGACAAAATTTTTGGATGATTTTCTATTACGCCAAGGATGAAATTATCCTTGAAAATTATATTATTGATGAGCTTTCAGGGCGTGTACCACTGGAAAACAACAAAAACTTAAGTTGCAACATCGGAAATTTAGCAAAAAAATAGATTTGTTTTCGGATATTTTGACTGATTCCAAAAGATTTTCGGACGCTGATTTCAAAAATGCTATGTATTTTTGGATAAATGCACATACACCCTGCGAAAAATCGAAATCTTTGGTTGCACAAATCGATTTTTTTAAAAAAAAATCGGGTTTTTTCGCGATTTTTCAAAATGTGTTGGATTGGTTTTGATTTTTTTGGTTTTGGGACGCTGATTTCGAAAATATTATCCGTTTTTGGATAAATCCACATACATCCCCAAAAAATCGAAATCTTTGGTTGCAAAATCAAATTTTACTATGAAATTAAATTTTTTTTCGCGATTTTCAAAATGTTTTGACCGATTCTGATAGTTTCGAGGCGCTGATACCGAATATTGAAATAAGTTTTTGGAAAAAAAAATTCTTCTGCCCTTGGTACCAAATTAATTTGAAAAATTGCCAACTTTGAAGCTGATTTTAACTATGAAGACGATGATAAATTTGTATTTTTTTTGGTTTGGTATAAAGATTGTACTTTAGTCTACACAAAGCATTAATTAAAATTATTAATTTCATTCATTAAGTGCCTTAAAATTGCATTTGAAAGTTACGATTTTGGCAATTTGGCTGCTCCTGATAGACTGTCTTTTATCGGGAAAAATAATAAGATTTTTAAATTACACCAAAG